TGTTTTTAATGTTAGATGAGAAATGTAGGACGTACGCGATAAAACATATACCCCCTACCACCATTTTTGAGTCGTTTTTAGGAGAAAACTTCGATATGCGCATGCGTTGGTAAAACTTTGCCGACATTTTGTTTTTCATCGCGAGAGGGTAAGCGAGCTCCATAATGCATACCTTGTTGGTGTAGTTGACCAATTGTTTACGGAATCGTCGGTAGGGTTAGGCCTCTGTCGTGTTAATGTAGCAGGTGCACGTATTATTAAAAATGAAAAAAAGTGATCTAACCAAACATGGTCTTTACATAATGGTATTGGATCGAACGTGTTTAATATTTTGCGAACATTTTGTTTTCTATCGCGAGAGTAGGCCTATACAGTTTACACTAGAGAAGTTGTCTGTGTTGTTTATGCGAACGCTAGGCCCTAGCGTGAACTTAGGTAGTCGTGGTAAGTCGACTACAGCTGTTTGTCGTCTGGTAGGTGTAACGTGTGTTTTAGTAAAAATTAACGTGATCTGAACAACATTTTACATTATAGTATTGAATCGAATGTGCTTACCTACCTAAAGTCTTTTACACACGATGAACACGGCAATTGACGTTCTGTTGGTGTGCAATACACTATAACAACTCCCTGGCAATACGTACAAATCACGACGACGACAGCAGCATTCAGTCAGTCTTGTTAAAATAAATAATATATTGGTCTACCACAATTAAGACTACCATACAGATCAATAAACAATAATCCGCGACAAAATAAAAACAAGAGTATTTGTAACGATTGAATATGTAGCATAAATGCATTCATATAAACACAACTTAATATTCTGACCAGACTGACCTCCATTACTGGAATTAGACCCTAGAGGTCTGTTCTGTGGCTTGATAAAACACAGAGCAAAAGTTGACAGTTTTGGCGGCATTAGTTTGATAGACTATTTACAATCGTTGAAATGAAATTCCTCTAGGCCTATATATAAAAAAACGAAAAGAAAGTGGTGCAGAAAAAAACTAATTGTGCACACTGTACTTTAAACACAGAAAAACGTACGTGTCGTCAGTATTATGAAGTTTTTTGTTTACGACTGCTGTGTAATTTTACTGGTTTACAACATAGTCATGTCATGTATACTTGAATATGTAAAATAAATTAGTATTCCGTATTCTTAACTCTCTGCAAACGTGCCTCGATCAATGATTTATTTATCTACCACCATACCTATCTACCATGATCCATGCGTGACATGCAGTATGCAGAGTAGTGGTTGTATATTGTGATAACTATATTCTACTTATTACGCATGTGTGTCACTAAGAAGATTTTGAACGAAGAACGAAAGAAAATTTGTTGTTGTCAAACCATGGAGGAGGTATGTCAAACAATGAAGACTATTTTAGTAGATGATAAGTTTGACTTCTAAAACCGCCAACTTTGGTCCTGTGGTTTGACCAGTCAAGTTCAAAACAGTGGCAAATCTGCCAAATTGTGAAAAAATATAAATGAAGGACATTTTGTGGTGTAACCCAACACCACGTCCCCAGCCGGCCCTACCATGGTTTTGGTTAAGGTGGGAGATTTTTAGGACATGACAGCTTTGGATACCCGAAAATGTTAATCATACTTCAGAATTTGTTATCTCAAACTGACGTCCCGATTTCCGATGTCAAAAACACCAAAAAATAGGTCCCTATTTTTAGAATAAAAAAATAATAATTGCAAGAAGTATCCACTACTTGCCAGTGTGATGAAGGGAATATTAGTCCGTGGTTCCCCGGGCCATAATCCCATTCCCATGAACGCGAAACTGTCCCGATTTCGGGGTGGGGGAAAATGGAATTATACCCCGGGGTTCCTTCCCTTGGCCTAGTGTATGAACAGACGGAAATGACGATCGTTTTGCAAGGTGGTTTTCACCTACGGTTCAATAGCCTATCAAAACAATATTCGGGCGAAGAAATCAGTCTTGCATGATGTAACGAGTTATTTTTAGCAGCCAATCTCTGTGGAAACACGTGAGTCTTCACGCTGTGAATTAACGATCCGATCAGCCCACTGGGCAGGTCTTTTCAGGGACGGACCGCGGTGTTGTCTATCTTTACTTTAGCCGCAGTTAGCGAGCTGCTTATTTTTAGCGACAGTAAACAACAAAGTAATTTACAAGAATGGGCTTTGTGTTTTAATTTATGGCGACCAATATCAGTTTTAAGCAATTTTAAAAGTTTCAAGTCGGCAGAATTCGGAGACAATTCCTTTATTTTTTGAGCATTTGTTAAATTTATCGACCTAGGCAAGGCCTGCTAGGCCGACTTACCCAATCCTCAGACCTGGGACATCACCCGGGGAAATTCGTGTACGCGAAAGTCTGTGTGGGTTTCTACCCGGGGAACTATGGTAATATTTTATAGCAGTTAGTGACTGAGAAAGTTTTCTCTATTGTTGAAAAAACAAAACCAAGCTTCGAGCTAGCATGACAACAAAAACTTAAAGTGCTTTAATGACACACAAGCTGGAAATGTTGAACAGAGATTATAAGTGTCATTCGAATAAATATTGACGTTATGACTCCAATGAGATCCAGCGAAACAAGCAACATCTGTCTCTTATACACATCTAGATGTGTATAAGAGACAGGTATTGGATCGAACGTGTTTAATATTTTGCG